TGCACTTTTAACGTTCCCTGTCTTGTGAAGATTTACTTTTTTTGATCCTCTGACAACCTTGCAGTCATTTGGGGTATTCAATAATACTACTTCTCTGCTGAATGGCTGGCTATTTATCGCCGAACTCTTTGGTTTTCCTTTTGATTTAGAATTTTGATTACTTCGATTATAAGGTAAAGATCTGCTTCGTCCGCTCGACTGGTAGGTAAACCTGCTATTGAATATAGGAATTGTTGCATTCAAATTTTGTTGCTGTCTCATAGAAGTTCCCCGTTGAAACAAGTTCCTGAGTTCTTGAGCGGGTCCTGTCGATCCTGAGGAGACCGTATTTACAGAATCGCTTTGTATGGTTCGGTTATTAGTGGTTTGACCAGAGTTAATGCTGTCGACAGCGTTTCTGAAATTTGGATGGCTTAACACACCGTTTACTAATTCTTCTATGGATGTATTCAAGCCTATGGATGTATTCGAGCGTGGACAGTCCCTAGTAGACCCACTACCAGACCCACTGACACTGTAAGTTGAATTAACGTCATCCATTTTGTTTCATCCGGGACATCTTCCACATGGCAATTTTGGCGGGAATCAGGAAGCAGATGACGTAATCATTGTTGTCGAGATGCCAAAATTACATGAAGTACATCCACAAATTTCATGACATATTTATACGGCAAAGAATACTGACGTATTTATACGTTATGGACTGATTTATGACATATTTATACGGCAAAGAACACTGACGTATTTATACGTTATGGACTGATTTATGACATATTTATACGACAAAGAATACTGACGTATTTATACGTTATGGACTGATTTATGACATATTTATACGGCAAAGAACACTGACGTATTTATACGTTATGGACTGATTTATGACATATTTATACGACAAAGAATACTGACGTATTTATACGTTATGGACTGATTTATGACATATTTATACGGCAAAGAACACTGACGTATTTATACGTTATGGACTGATTTATGACATATTTATACGACAAAGAATACTGACGTATTTATACGTTATGGACTGATTTATGACATATTTATACGGCAAAGAACACTGACGTATTTATACGTTATGGACTGATTTATGACATATTTATACGACAAAGAATACTGACGTATTTATACGTTATGGACTGATTTATGACATATTTATACGGCAAAGAACACTGACGTATTTATACGTTATGGACTGATTTATGACATATTTATACGACAAAGAATACTGACGTATTTATACGTTATGGACTGATTTATGACATATTTATACGGCAAAGAACACTGACGTATTTATACGTTATGGACTGATTTATGACATATTTATACGACAAAGAATACTGACGTATTTATACGTTATGGACTGATTTATGACATATTTATACGGCAAAGAACACTGACGTATTTATACGTTATGGACTGATTTATGACATATTTATACGGCAAAGAATACTGACGTATTTATACGTTATAGATTTCTATTACATTTTTGTAGTATTGCTGATACAAATATTTCCATTTGCACATACATATTATATATTTTTGATACACATATATATTCTTGATACGTATATTTATCTATGATATTTTGTCATAAATGGCGCCTCATAGTAAAGAGAAGAGGGCCAAGTATACTTCCCTGAGGAATGCCGCAAGTTATTTTACTTTGTTTTAAAAGCATTCCTTGGAGATTGCATTTCTGAGTTCGGTTTGTCAAATAATTACACAGTAGCGCAAGCGCCATTTCTCCAAGACCGTACATTTCAAGTTTCTTTAAAAGGATATCATGATTTACGGTATCAAACGCTTTCTTTATATCAAGAAAAACAACTAAATTATAGTGTCCGCGGTCCATATTGACATACCATTCATTCGTACAATC